TTTTTATATATATATAATTTTCTTTTATTTTTTCTTTGTTTAGGTAAAACTATCTTAAGGAGTGCCAGAACACTGATAATCTAAGCTAGATTTTTCTTGAACTAGATTTTTAAGGCAAGTCTATCTATTATTATTTTTTTTTATATTATTATTAGTGTTTATTAATTAATTCTTTCTTCTGAGAGGTTCAAACTCTTGACAATATATCAGTATTATTGTATTTTCATACATAGCAGTATATGATTTTAATATTGTAGGGTTGTATTTGCAGTATCTATTAGGCTTTACAACTAGAGAATTAGAGCTATTTTAATATAGAGTAGTCATTTACCATAATGAAAAAGTCTAGGCCAATATAATACTAGAAATATTCTATTAACTAAAGAATAGCAAGGCACTTCAACTCAGTGGTAGTGTAATTTCATTTGAATTTTATTAGTTCATAGCTTATGTATACAATGATGTACTCTTTTCCAAGATCATCCTTTTGGGCAAGCATAGCACCAAAACCAAAACTAGATGTATTAGCATTTATAATGAAAATTTTACTAAAATCGAGATAATGCAAAACAAGGGCATTTATTAGGTATTGTTTTAATTTATTGAATACATCTTTCTGTTCTTTCTCCTATTTATATTTAATAACTTTTCTCAATAATTTGTACAAGAAGCAGGCAACAACAGTGAATTCTAGTATAAATTTTTGATAATATGAAGCTAAACTAATAAAGCTTTATAATTGATGTAGGGTCTGAGAGACAGAAAAGTCCTTGACTTTCTTTACTTTGGCTTCATCGAGAGTGAACTCTATCTCTACTGACTATATAATCTAGAAAATATAGGTAGAACTTAAAAAAGAAATACTTATTCGAATTTAATTTCAAACTAATATTTCTAAGTTTATTAAAGACAGCAGCAATATAGTTAACATGATCTTTGAAGGTACAGAATAATATTATTATATCATCCAAATATATAATAATAAATTTGTTCAAAAACTTAGCTAAGACCTTATTCATCAGCTTTTGAAATATTGCAAGCATATTATACAGGCTGTATAACATTACCAAGAATCATGTAATCTGAAACTCATTACAAAAGTAGTCTTTTCTTAGACCTTTTCATTTACATATACTTGCAAGTATCCTAACATCATATCTAATGTAGAGAACCAGGAGGCAGAACTGAAGACTTCAAGCAGATTATTGATATAGAGAAAAAAAAAGCATCCTTTTTTGTAACTAAATTTAACTTCTAGTAGTCTATGCATATCTTTAGCTTTCTACTTTTTTTCAGTACAATAACTATCAGAGAGATCCAAGGACTCTTACTCTCTTTAATTAAATCTCTCTTTTCTAATTTTCCAACTTCTTGCTATATAAAATTTCAAATACTAGAGGTAGTACAATACTTAGTGCTTGTTTTATGAGAGCAGTGTTACTAGTCTCTATTTCATAGTTTAGTACTATAGTTTGTTCAAGGTCAGTTACATCTATTATGAAGTTATCCTTTTATGATTTTAATAGGTTTCTAGTTTTGTCTCTTTGATTTGAAGTGAGTTCATCGAGATCTATATTCTTTTTTAATCTTTTCTTTACATTTTCTTCAGAGTAATTACTTTTTATGAACAACTCCTCAATATTGGACAAGTATATGCCAAACTTCTATAGTTTCTCTAAGAGTTTTCGAATATCTTTAATTTATTAGTACTTTTAGTAAAGAATTTTTTGGCTTCATCCAATTCCTCTTCTTCATATTCAAGATCATTAAAATAGTCCAATTCGAATTCATAACTTCTTTTAATTTTTTGTTTTCAAGGAGAGGGTTTTCTCTATTGTACAATATAAGTACTTCAGTGACATAACCTCTATACTAGATATACAAATTTCTTTTGTCTATATGCAAGTAGGCGCAAGCTAGCCAGAACTATTCTATCTTCAACAAGAGGGTTGCTTCAGTAGATTCAATGATTTAGAAGGTTGTTGAGATCACAATTCCTTCTAAGAACAACTTAAGGCCTACGATTTTTTCGAAAGCCTTCTGTTTCAATTCATTTGTAATTACAATAGTGATGATAAAGAGTTTATTTATTTTCAATTCTAGCTTCTGCAGCATCTTCATAGTTATAATATTAATAGTAGCTCTGAAATCAAGTATAGCAATTATTGAGTTGTTTTTACCTTTACATAGCACCAGATAGTAGTAGTTCTTTCACTGAGCTGTTAGATAATATTGGTTTCTATTTTATCTGAAACTTGTATTATAGTAGATATGAATAGTGTTAGTAGAAATAGTTACTTTAGGGCATTCACAAACTTTTTTTTTTAGTCAGAATATTGCAATATTTGTTCAAAGGTTACACTTACCCTTTGGTTCATAATATCTATAGCTACATTATATGAATCTAATTTGTCAATCACAAAGTGACCTCTCTTCTGATGAGGTTGTGGGAGTAAAACTACTAGGTAGTAGGTTATCATTATCTAAAGTTGGTATAGGGGCAACTACTAGTTAGGTAGGCTTTGACCTTTCTTCAGCTAGGACTTCTGCTTCTTTAAGGTAGCTTCTTGTTCTTTTAAAAGATAGAGTTAGAAGCAGTCTGCAGACATTACCACTGCTTTATCACTTCTAGTAGGTCTTTCTACTTCCTCTAAGATGCTGATATGATTCATATCAGAGATAATAAATAATCTGATCATTTTATCAAAATTTAAATGACCTCTAGTCATCAAATAATGACCAGGTTATTTAGGTCATTTACATATAAAGTATTTTATTAATCAGATATCTAATATAAAAAATTATCAAATGATATTATTTCACTATTAATAATAGTAACTACATATAAAAGTCAAAAATTTATTAAGCTAATCGATAATTTTGTCTTAGGTAAAGTTATTCAGAAGAACAAATTGTATATAATTTAAAAATTTTGCAGAATTTTAATAATTTTTATTAAGTTATTTTTATATTTTATGTTTACATAAAAAAAATTTAAATTTTTTCATGTAAATGTAAAACATAAAAATGATTTAATAAAAAGTTATTAAAATTATACTAAATTTTCAAATTGTATGTAATTTGTTCTTCTAAATAACTTTACCTAAGACAAAATTATTGATTAGCTTAATAAATTTTTGATTTTTATATATAGCTATTACTATTAGTTGTATTTTATAAAAATTAATAATCAATTTTTATTGGCTAAACAGTATTTTATTATCAATAAACAGAAGTTAAATAACCTTATTGGGTTATTTGTGTTTTGAAATGACCAATAACTAGTTATTTGTTATTTGAGTCATTTCAGCTATTTCAAGTTATTTACTATCTCTAGTTTATATCCTTTAGTCTTTGTAAAATTTGAGTTGCTAGATTGTTTTGGTCTCGAGTTTGGTTCTGAAGATGATTCTAAGTTTGATTTGGGTTTGGATTTCTTTTCAACACCCTTTCAGACATATAGTTATATGAAATATTTCTGAGTTCTTTAAACCTATGACAGTGATATAGTACACTATTGCCATTATTCCTATTTCTTTCTCTATTGTAACTGCTGTTATTATTTTTATATGTGGTTCAAAACCTTGTAGTTGACTCTATGTAGGTTGCAAAGATGAAAGTTAACTTTTCGAAATGAGCATACAGCACTTGTATTTGCTAGTTTAATTGCTTAACATTATTGTAGTAGGTTTCATTTCTTTTCTTTTTTTTCAACATAGTATTCTCTAGCTTTGATTTTTTAAAGATAACAATCACATCTACAAAGTTAGCAGGTTCACCAATTCTTAGCCAAGATGCTGCTCTTAGTTTTAGTTCTCCTAAAAATATTTATACACTGTAAATTGGGTAACTCACAGAGGTATCTACATAGTACAAAAGTTTTCAAAACTTATATGCGTATGACTCTACTCTTTCATTTGGTTGTTAAACCAGGGTATTTAAATTGACTTGCCATTTATATCATTTCTCCAGAGTCACAAAATAACACTAAATTGGACAACTAAGCTATCATCTAAGGCATATATATTATCCTAGTAGTCTAAATAGTTTTTTACACTATCATACCAGTTAGCAGCCACACCTTACAAGTATTCAGATGCAATTTTTACTTTCCTTTTGGCTGTCCAATTATTTATATCAGTAGCCTTATTAAATACTTCTATTTATTCCAAGAGATCCTCATCCTTTTCTCCTCAGAAGACTTCAACACAGACCAATTTGGTCTCTCTATTAAGTGATCAGATAGCAGCAGTAGCTCTAGCAGTGGCATCTCTAAACACAGTGGTAATTTTCCTAAGAATTGTTTAGACCAGGTCTTGAGCTTAAGCTTGAGGTTTTTTGGTTTCTTTCATCCCTGATAAAGTATCTTTTCAGCATTAATTGGTATTAGTCTACTGAAGTTCAGCTTCTATTAGTTTGTTTGTCTTGGTCTATCTCTTCGCAATTGTCATTAGGTTGTCCAAATATTAACAAGTCATTATTATGTCTTTGGTTTATCCTAAAATTAAACAATAAGACTTTCTTATAAGTTAGAAAAAGAATTTAAACAACAAAAAAAAATTTAAACAATAAAAAAAATTTCAAATGAAAATAAATTAAATAACACAAAAAAAATTTATACATAATACAAAAATTTATATTTCAAAAAAATAAAAACTCTTTAAACACAAAAATTGTTAGTTAAATAGTTTTCCTTTGTTATAAAATTTTTCATTTGTTTGTTTTTTTTTTTTTTTTTATATAACTTGCATTCTATCTTACAGTTACCACCACAAATTGTCAAAGGCTAACAACTCTACCTCCAACCAAAAGAAATAGCATGACAGCATTGCTAAGAAATCCAAGACACAGAGTAACATGATACTACCTAAAAGAGAGGCAAGGTTTGATTTGGCACGAGTCAAGGTGGTAGTGAAACATTAGGCAAAGATAAGAGTTTTATTTATTTAATTGATCAGATTGTAATTGTATCTAATCTACCTTATAGGTTGTCAAAGTTACATTTCTTTTATAACAATTTTGAATGCACAAAAAAGAAACAAATAGAAAGAAAAAGAACTAAAAACGAAGGTTACACTTCGTAAATTTCAATGAACAGCCTTAAAATTTATCAAGGCACAGTGACATGGCCACGAACTAATCTGAATATGGTTAACTTATCCCTTTGACATCTCTAAGCCGCATTTTTGACAATCGGGTTAATTATCTTACGATGCCCTTTTGGGTTTAACCACGAATTTGTCGATCATTGGTTCTGCGGGATCTTCACATGCGATGTGAAAGGCTTCCGGACCCTCTGAGCTACCACCACCTATTATTTTTTTTTTACTTATTTTTTTTATCATTAGTATTATAAATTATATAGTTATTATTATTCGATTTGTACTTATAAAAATTCTTGATAAAACCTGTCATAAATCCATTGATCGTAGTCTAGTATTTCCCCCAAAGGATGATCTAGTTCCTTATTTGGTTACGATTTAAGAAAGTTATGGTATATTTAACATATCAAATATGGTATATTTGATAGATTAGATATGTTAAATATATCCCGGAAGGAATATAGTATATTTGATAGATTAGATATGTTAAATATACAATATGTATTTATGAACATCGCTAAAAGTATAAAAGCGATGACTTTTCACCTTCAATAAAAAATAACTTTGGAGAGTTAAAAACTTTCAAGTTCAGAAAACTTTGGCAGAGTTGAAATAAGACTCAAATAAGTTCAGTGTTTGGAAAGACCAACTTCGAAATTCGAGTAGAAGTTCGGTAGTATAAAAATTCACCATTGTTAGAAATCGTTACTATTAGAATTCGCCCCCGATATAATCAAAACATGATCAATTTAAACAATAAGCAATCACCCTGCATATAGTGTTATTGATAAACCCAAAATCTCCATTGTTAAATCTATAACCAATCGGAAGGAAATCCAAATCACGTACTGTGAAAACATTCTAAAATATAAGAATCGCAACCAGGAACAATAACCAAGAACATCAAACACCTACCTTAAAGTACCTCCATAAACTCCAGGTTAATCCGCAAGACCCCTAAGACCCGGACCAAATCTTCCACGCCGTCTTTCAGCCTACCAACTTAGGGTTGATTGTTGGATTTGTAGTGTTTGTTTGTTGATTTGTTGAACTACGAACTTAGGTGTGACAGAAACTCTCCGGTCTAGTTCCGTCCCAGAACCGGTACACACCTTTTCAATGGGCAAATCGCGAATTTTTGGAAATGCCACTTCACGGCAGATTCTCGATTTTGATTGGCTAACGCCTATGATCGACAAAATTTTGGTTCACGTTACGTAAATTTTGTAATTTTCGGCAGGAATTAACTTTTTTTTATTCAAAAATAGAAATTTTGAGAAACTAGACCTGCTCTATGTAAAATTAACTCAGAAATAATTTTCACTAATGCGTAACTGTGATTTCATTGGTAAAATTTGAGTAATTTTGACCTATTGTCGCTCTTAGCCTATACATTATACATGTGACCGAAACCTTTCGGCCATTTCGGCCACGTGGCAAATGATTAAAGCAAAGTTTTCGATAATTTGTAAATATGGTAAAAATTAGGCTTCATATATGTTAAGCCAGATCCACAGAAACTTATGCAAGGTCTTTTGGTATTTCGGCAAGACCTTTTGGTATTTCAGCAGACTTTGGAATTTTCGGCAATCTTACTTAATATACAGTCGAAACTTCCAGAGTCTGCTGAAATACCAAAAGATCTTGCCGAAATACCAAAAGACCTTGCATAGGTTTCTGCGAATCTGGCTTAACATCTATGAAGCCTAATTTTTACCATATTTACTTTAATCATTTGCCACGTGGCCGAAATGGCCGAAAGGTTTCGGTCACATGTATAATTTAGGATAATCGACTCCGACTTAGCCGGCTAAGCCTATTTTTAAATATCGACTTAGTCAAGTCGATAAATAATGGTCGACTACAAACACTAATAAAAATTACTCAAGTCATCGTCATATACATAATATAGTTAAAACATGTCGAGACATCATATACATATTGATAGTTAAATATACAAAATTCGTCATATACATAGCGATAGTTAGTTATAATGCGCCAGATTCAGAATTAAGAATTGGGTTGTAATTAGATGTCGGGTTAACCCGGTTTAATAGTAAATCGGTTTTATAATATCTTAATTCAGTAATTCAGTTTCAAAACTTTGATAAACCGGTTTTTAAATTTAAATCCGGTTTTGTATGTTCAAAACGCAATATTTAACTTTTAAGATTGAATTAACGTTAACAATTAGCTACGTGAGATAAATTAATAGTTACACGACTTGTCACGCAGATCAGGGGAGTAAATTTTTTATTACGTATGAAATTTGAGTAATCGACATGCATATGATAGGCTTATTTTAAATAGTAAATTGCAACGGTAGGCCTTTTTTAAATACTATTTTCAAGGGTTTTCTAAAAGAAAACTACCTTCGTGAGACAAGATATGATGGTTTTGTTATATATTTATTTTCTAATTTTTGAGTTTAAAATGAGATAATTATTAAAGTTTTCAAGAATCATGACTTCAAAGATGATTTTTACTTCCTTTTTTATATAGTTATGTTATAATAGAGTTTTTTATTTATTGAGAATATAAACTTAGGTAATTTTAAAGAAATAGTGTAA